ATGTATTACAGTACTATCATTTTATATAGTGTATAGCATTTAAAATATATGCAAAAGTATAATTCATTGACCACATGGCACCAAGAAACAATTCTCTTTGTAAACAAATTAAATTAAATAGCACAACAGCATTTCTGACAACAGCTGTAGTTTCAAAACAATGTTTTTTCCCATGTTAATCTTATGCAGAAATACGACACTTTAAAGGGTCCCCATGCCTCACTCTCTAATTATTTCCCTAAAAAGAAAGTTTCCTGCACAACTTCACGTTACGCTCTTTCCAATGACACCAAAACCATGTCAATCGGTTCAGTAGTTTCGGAGGAGTAATTGTCACAAAAAACCTGCTTGCGTATTAAATAAGTAATAAAGATATAAGGGTGATTTGTACTCAGTGTGGCAAAATTTTTTTGATGTAAGTACAAAGTAAATGAAGTGTGATGATGCATATCAAATGTTCCAAGTCTCAAAATTAGCGTCCCAAAAAAATATTTTATGTTTTTCAAAAATAACCATGCTTTTAAACTTAATACAGCGATTTCTCCATTACCTGTATATGGATTTGAGTAGATAATGTCATTTTCGTGTTCTACATTAAATTTTGAACAAGAATAATGGAAAATTACGGAGAATGAGTTGTAAAAACTCCATTGTAAATAGATTCAAAGATAAAAATTAAGATATTTGATAAAAATTTTAAAAACAATGGTCTATTGCATTTTTCGCACCCTGTATACAAGAAAGTGTCGGAATATGTTAAAAACTGCGCCATTTTATAAGCTTTCCAACCATATGCTACATTATTGAGGTTTAGATATTTTTTTGTTTGTTTTAGTGGTTTGAATACCAGAAAACAGGAAAATTTTTTACTGCTTTTATTGTTCAACCTGAAACAAAAATACAACTTTTGCTTAATACATGCCGACTTTCTGTGTTTTAAATGTTAAAGACACCATGCTTTGTAGTCTTCAAACCATTAAAGCGTACATAAGCAGACATAAACCTCAATAGTGTAGCATATCGTTGGAAAGCTTATAAAATGGCGCAGTTTTTAACATATTCCTACACTTTCTTGTATACAGGGTGTGAAAAATGCAATGGACCATCGTTTTTAAAATTTTCATCAAACATCTTAATTTTTATATTTGAATCTATTTACAATGGAGTTTTTACAACTGATCCTCCGTCATTTTCTATTATTCTTGTTCAAAATTTAATGTAGAACACGAAAATTACATTATCTACTCAAATCCATATACAGGTAATTGAGAAATCGCTGTATTAAGTTTAAAAAAACATGGTTATCTTTGAAAAACATGTAATAATTTTTTGGGAAGCTAATTTTTAGACATGGAACATTTGATATGCATCATCACACTTCATTTACTTTGTACTTACACCTAAAAAATTTTGTCACACTGAGTACAAATCACCCTGTATAGATTTGTAAACGCAATTGGTTTGAGACGACACGTCCAGTCAATTCGTCGTGGAAATCTACCTCACGTTACAAAAAATAACTGTTACGAGTTTTTTTCTTAACTTTATGTTTTTTGGGGCGCTGAATCCGAATCTGAAGAGATCCAACAAAAATTCCTTGTGCGTTTTGAGCTAAACGCAAAAAATGTTGAAAATGTTCACCCTTTTTCCAGTTTCTTGCTTATTACTCGGAAACTATGCATTCTACTAAATTTTACTAAATGTTAAAATGAAAGATCATGAAATTTCCTACAAAATACATATATATTGTTCTTTATCAAACGCACAATTAGCCCGCTAGAGCGCGCTCCAAAAAGACAAAAATATCACATTTTTGTAAAAAACCCGTTTTTTGCCAGATTTTCACATTTTTTATTGAAAGTACGCGTTTATTGATTGAAGGTAGACTATGTAAGTAATTAAGTTAAAATACTTTACATGTAAGCCCCAATTATTGTACATTTAAAAAAAATATTGAAATTTATTTCAGAACAAATAGGAGCAAAGACAATATTTTTTTCGGTTACTTTTTCCACTGCTGTGGAAGGCCCCTGCTTGGAGTCCTCCAAATGCGGTTGGTGTTCTTCCTTAGTTGTAAGATACGGGTGAGGAATATCTTACTTCTACTTGTGGTTGGTTGTTACACTTCCTGACGGAGAAAGGGGAATGATTTTTATATGGTTACTTTAACAATATGGTGGTAGCTTTAACACCTTGTCTTCTTTTCCTAAATTGAAGATATGCTTTTTAAATAGAAGTGAAACAAATCTATATATAAATCCCAAAGTATCCATGAATGAACTTTTGAGAAATCTCAAAGTTACACCCCCATAAACCATAGGCCTATACTTAAAATGTTCGTCATGACGAGAAATCTTGCGCAAAACTATCCATTCTTTTCATAAACTGCCCTTTAAGGTCGTAATTCCTTTTTCACCACACTATGATGTTATTAGCTGTTTTACATACGTTAAATAGAGGCTGGAAGTTAGGTTTTGCTGGCCATGCCAGCTGTCATCGTCATTTGGGGACAGAGCAGGTTTTTACATCCCTAGGGCCGCAAAATCAGCTGACCACTTGCATATTAATACACAAACAGTATCCATAGCATTGCAATGGAATTGTTTTATTTTCATCATTGCCTAGCAATTTTTTATTATTACTTTTGCTGATTCCTGAAATTACCTCTTCACATAACTTTAAAGTTGCGTTGACTATCAGTGTGCATTAATTATTATTGTGAATTGTAGTAGTGTGGTGAAAAATAGTGTTCGTACCACGGACCAAAAATCGTTTTGCAGCTCTCGATTGTTTTAAGTTCTCGACTTCGTCTCGAACTTTTTTCGGCCCTAGGTACGAAAAATACTACCTATTTAAAGGGGACTTTTCATATACTTATGTTAAAAATGCCTTAACTGTACTTATTTGTTTGTTATTAATTCAATTGCTTTTCTTATTAAAATTAGGTGTGATTATATGTTTGTATTACTGTATTCTGTTTTGTTTATTTCAGCTTAACTTAACCAATCAATGGTTTTATTAATACTTATGAAGTAAAACGGGGTGAAGCCCGTGGGTAACAGCTAGTATAAATGGTATACATTTTTGGGGCATTTGCTTCATAACGTAAAACTAATTAGGCGAGTTCACATGTGAGACACAAATTAATGAACATATAAGTATTATAAATATCATTCAAATGAGAATTCCCATTTCATGATTTTGATGCTGTCCGTGTTGTCCCTCTGAACTCGGGATCCTCCGCTGTCTACACTGTCTACTTACATGCTGCTCCGAGATTTCGAAGTGAATACCACAAAACCTTTCCATCTCTTTGGTAATGTGAATTATGGATGTGTGCATTTGTAATCATCTAAAGGATGTGCTGTCACAAATTTAATGCATTATAAATACACATTCAATTTTAGTACTTCTCGTGTGGAATTGCTCTATTGTTTTGTTTATAAAGGTGCCATACCATAGTTAATCGGGACGAAGGACTGTGAAGGCGTCTCCACAAGTGAAATTGACGTTTTATATCACGTCAATGATTGTAAACAAATCAAAAAGAGATAATATGTTATAATTAACTGTTTATGTTAAATCTGTGTACGATAATGTTTTCTTATTCAACTTACAGGTTAAACAACAGTTGTATAGTTACTATACTGTATAGTTGTAAAAATAAATGTCTAACTATGGCACGTTATGTTCAACACAATATTTGTTCTTTCATTCATGATACATTTTGGGTGTTTTTGGTGATTTGAGAGTGATTTTTTGAAGCTAGAATTAAGTTTAAATAGGTAGTGAAATAAGTTACAAAATGGAAGATGAGTTGTAAAAACTGTACTTTTAATAAAAATGATAAATTATGCAAAAGAGAGTGTTTACAACAATGTGAATTTTTTTTATTTTTTGAGCGCTTCAATTATTTTCTGTGCATTTGTTCTGAAATAAATTTCGTTATTTTTTAATAGTACACTTATTGGGGCTTATATGTTAAGTCTTTAAAATAAATTTACTTTCATTATCGACCTTTAATAAAAGAATACTTTTAATAATAAATATGAAAATCTGGCAAAAACGGGGTTTTTACAAAAATGTGATATTTTGTCTTTTCGGAGCGCGCTCTAGCGGGCTAATTGTGCGTTTTATAAAGAACAATATATATGTATTTTGTAGGAAATTTCATGATCTTTCATTTTCACATTTAGTAAAATTTAGTAGAATGCATAGTTTCCGAGTAATAAACAAGAAACTGAAAAAAGTGCAAAAAATTTCATATTTTTTTCGTTTAGCTCAAAACGCACAAGGAATTTTTGTTGGATCTCTTCAGATTTGGATTCAGCGCCCCAAAAAACATAAAGTTAAGAAAAAAACTCGTAACAGTTATTTTTTGTAACGTTCAACTACCGTTTGACTGGACAGCATGGCAATCCATAAGGTCCATTTGGATTTGAGTAGATGGTGTCGTTTTCGTGTTCTACGTTAAATTTGAATAAGAATCGTGGAAAATGTTGGAGGATCAATAATAAAAACTCCATTGTAAATCGTTCCAAAGAATAAAATCAAGGTCTTTGATAAAAATTATAAAATCGTTGGTCTGTTGCATTTTTCTTCATACAAGAAGGTAGCAAAATATGTTGAAAACTGCGCCATTTTATAAGCTCTCCAACCATATTAGCGAACATTAGCAGATCTAAACCTCAATATTGTAGCAGCATATGGTAGAAGAGCTTATAAAATGGCACAGTTTTCAACATATTTTGAACCCTGTTTAGTTACATCTTTCTCCATTCTGAGGACGTTGTAGTACAGCCAAAATGCTGATCTTACACAGTAACCTTTCCACCCCTTACACATACTCAAACCCTTCCAATGTTGCAGGTCACAAGGACTGCGAGGACCTGAAAAGGAACAACCACCACCTCCACGGCCACCATGGGATGGACATCAAGGGGGTGGAGCACGGTCACGGTTTACACCAGCACCCTCCAGCGCGGCTCGTCGGGGGCTTCGACCCCCAGGGTCTACAACCCCCGCAGCCCGTCGACGACGGTAAACCATCCAAACAGAAGCGGCACAGGACGAGGTTCACTCCGGCGCAGCTCAATGAGTTGGAGAGGTGCTTCTCCAAGACGCACTACCCGGACATCTTCATGAGGGAGGAGATTGCAATGAGGATCGGCCTGACGGAGTCCAGAGTGCAGGTCAGTCGAGCAATAAGCATATTACCAATTGTTATAACATTTAAGATTTTTAAAAGCTTCCGATGTAGAATATGATTGTGTAAGTAGCTTTGGTGAATTCGATTACCGTTGTCTTTGGACAGTGTGGTGCATCTTTAATACTTTTCAATGAAATGGCGACCATCACCATACAAAGTAGGTATTTTAAGCCAAGTATGAATGGAGATGAGTGTAGGATGAGTGGCACGATCTTGTAGTATTCTTAGTGACTAAGGCCGACCTATTCCTTAGACACAGCTGTTAATTAATATCCAATACATCCAATGGCAACTAAAGTACCTAGAGTTTATAGTGGAATCCGAACCACATTTTTGCCTTGGCATAAACGAATTGGTCTAATTATCAGGATAGTACTGCGGATAGTCGTAGTACTCACTAGTGCGGACTTTAATCCACACCAGGGAGTATCGTTTCCACAGTGCATGCCTATAAATATCCACAATAATACCGTCTTGGCTTTTAACTATGTACGAAACTATCAATCTCAACTCAACTCTCCTGTAAAATGGCGTTTGCCGTGTATGTAATAAATAAATAAAATAAATAAATAAATAAATTATAATGCCACGACATGTAGTTCGTAGCGTAGAATACCTTGAGCTCAGGTCTGTCTATTATGTAAAAAATCTATCAGGGATATGTCACTGTCTTTCTCACTCTATATTTTTAGCTAACGGGCAGTTAAAAGAATGAAGTGCAAAGCTCCAAAAGTGGTTTGCATTATTATGAGAAATTATTGCTGGATAAAATTCTTTCTGGGCGGGAATGGACGCTCCTATTCTGAAGGCTTGGGTTCAGATCAGACCAATGGTCTATGGCTTCTATGGTTCAAGGGCAACCATAATCTGCACACTCGTTCCTTTAAGTACAAAATGTGTATATCAGTAAACGGGAACAGTCTCATAGCTTCTCGTGTAAATCAAACTTTCGAGAATCTAAATACCGTACAATTTTAATTATGTATGCATGAATTTTGAGTGAATTATTACCAATACAAAAATTCTTCAAATAACACTGGTAATAATATATTGGCACTTATACTGTATTCACATGACGGTAAATACATATAAAAGATGGTAAGTGGGGATCGATTTCGACGTGACACTAAAATCCCCTAATAGGCCACAAGAATCTCAATGGCACCCCTTATATAATATTGGTACTTAAGTAAACCGTTACTACGAATGTTATTTGAAGTGTTGTTGTATTTACAGGTAATTAATAGCACGTACAATGCTGATCAAGGTGTCATTTAAATTATTACCAAACTTCATTGATTGATAAGTATTATTGTTGCATTCACCTGTAAAAGGTCCAGGTTTAATGAAGGATTTTGGTAGAAGATTAGTATAAAAGAATAGACTGTAGTGCAGAATCGAATTTAAAAAAATTCTAACTCTATTTTTTTTTTACTGACAAGTGCATTTGAATGTAAACACCTATAACTCGTGTGTGTTTTCTAATACTAAAATGTTACTGATTTTAGTACCTTAAAGGTAGTATCAGGTTTATGATTTACTATTTGATCTCTTGTCTCTGAGTACATCGCACTCCATCTTTGTTATGTCCCAACAATGTTTCACTGACATCAAGGCTGGCCAAATAATTTCGCGCGAATTTCCAAAATTGGAGGGAGACCAACGGTGTAAATCCCGGCCACAAATCATCTGGTTGAATCGATGGCACAGTGGCGCTGAGCACGGCGGGTATGCTAAACAACACCATACATCATGGCTGTGAGCTGGGCTTAACTGCCTTACCTTATCTACCTAGCTACGATATGGTGGAATGAGGACTTTATCAATGCTGAGGACGTTTGAGGATCAAGCAATGAAGTATCTCAAGGCAGCCAAACTCTTTAAAATAATAAAAATACAATACGCAAACGTTTAAATGGATATCATATTGCAATATTTTCTGCATCAACTATAATTATTCTCTGTATTTTTAAGGGTTGTTTAAAAAACTATATAGATTTGTTTTTTATGTATTAGATTAGATTTGTATGTCACAAACGAGGGTGCGTTTGGCATTAAGTTTGGTTTTGTATGAATGAGATGAACAAGTTTTACTGATTAGCTAGTTTTATAGTCAGAACTTGCTCAACAACCATCAAAACGCTTATGATTTTTCTCAGGATCGAGCTGGCTGGCAAACATCTGAGCTCCACTCAGCTACTTAATTTTAAAAATCTCATTAAATCCCTTCCAAAAAACGTCAATCACCTTACAATCTCGGAAACGTTAATTAATCCTTTATTTTAGATCATACTAGCGTACCCGTCGCGCGTTGCTGTGATTTTAGAGAAAGACGTCTTAAGATTACATTCAAACTATTGTACATGGTGTTAATGTCAATAAAACATATTTATTACCTAATTTATATAAAATTTAAAAAGTAGTTTTGCTTTGCAAACATTTATTCAAGGGCTTTTTAATAAACAATGGAGCTCGTTCGCTGCGCTCACTTGCCTTCGGTTTTAGCTAGTTCGCTACGCTAACTCGCCTCCAGTTGAAGTTTATTTATTATTTATTTATTTATTTAAATTATTTAAACCCATTTAAATATGAGTACTCATAAGGTTAACATGGGAAACTCCAGAGCCACTGGGGCGGAGCCCTTTTGACGGATCTGCGCCAAACTTCACACAAACAATCCTTGAATAATGCTTAATAATGCCTGAAAGTTTCATTACAATCTGTCGAGCGGTTTCGGAGTCCATAAAGGACAAACAAACAAACATACATACATTGGATTTTATATTTAAAGATAGACTAGCTGCTGTATTCATTGCAAACAAAAGGAAAAATCAGTTTCATAATCATTGAAATAGATTTAAAATAAATAATCCATCATAAAGTTTTACACGAATAATAATCCTACCACATAGTTGTGTAAATGTCTTTGGATCAGCTGTCTAAAATTGTGAAATGAGCATTTTACAGTTCTGATTGTTTACATTTAAATGCCAACACAAAGGTAAACATTGTGAATTTTCTCGTGCTTCCATTGAGACCAATTAATATTTACTTTTGAAAACCTCACCTCAAAACTTTGGACATCCAAGGGGCATAGCCCAAGAGGAGCACAGAGTGAATAGGATATTCCTAGATATGTGGACCATCTTTGTGCTTAATTTTGGCTGTATCGGTTTAGTATTTTAGTCGTGACGGCTGCCCAGACAGACAGACACCATCTATTTTACTATGGCATAGATAGCAATACAGTAATACTTTTAAGGAGTAGCTTTAGCTATGGCTACAGAACCTAGAGGGACATTTCTTTCCATGTTAAAGATATAGCAAGTTTTAGAATAAAAATGACCTCATTGAGCCCCCTCCTTATTTCTTATCCATCAACTTTGTCATGCCAAAGTGAAAGTCTATTGTAAACAGTAGCATCTTTCAAGTCTCAACTTTCACCGTTTGAAAAACTTAGAGATACAACTTCAATCTCAGCACACTCCCTCTCTGGAAGCTATGTTTTCTTCGAGTAGAACATGGATACATTTGATCCAAATAATCTGCCTGGTATCCAAAGCCAATGGTAGTTACGTTGAACATTTTACATCAAAGGCATCAAAGGCTGGATGATTGCCAAACTCTACAGAACGGTATTGATTCACTGATGAAGTGGTGCTGTGATAATGACATGACCCTGAATATTTCAAAATGTTCTGTGATGTCCTTTTCCAGGTCTAGCACACCCATCATCTTCCCCTACTTACTTGACGGTCAACCCCTCCCACGTTCTTTCAGGATCAAGGACCTTGGCGTCATACTTTCTCCAAATTTAAACCCTCAAGACCATATAAATTATATCTGCAAGAGAGCTAATTCTGCCCTATATTTCATTATAAGGAACAGTCGCAACATGTTCTCTATCAATGCATTGAGAATCCTCTACATACATCTAGTCAGGCCTTTACTTGAATTTTCGTCACCTGTTTGGAGCCCTTACCTGATTGGGCAGATCGAGAGTCTTGAGAACGTGCAGACCCGTTTCATTCGTCTGGTTGGTGTGCTGATGGGTTTTGACTACCGCACTGTTCCTATCCAGGAGTTACAACTTCAATTGAACTTGAGGCCACTACTTACACGACGTGTAATCAATGACATACTGTTCCTGAGGAAGCTTATTAACTCGGACATTGATGCACCAGATCTACTTTTTAAGTTGGACTTCCGCACATCCCGCCACCTGCGCCAAACTCATCCGTTCGCTAGACGTCAATACTCTACCCAGTACATGTTCCACAGCACTTTTCCCCGCATCCAACTCTTTGCCAACAGCTTACCAGATGATATCGACCTCTTCTACACCAGTGGCGAGTCGATAAAAAACAGGTTATTACTTGTTGGTCTGTGAGGTGCTGCCTTGATTTGTTGTCTGCAAGTTATAAGTTATATATCAGTTATTTATTTATTTATTACAATTGTTATTTATTTCTATTGTAGTTTATTATTGTTGTTATTTATTATTGTCATTGCATTTGTTACTGTTGTTGCTTGTTGTTGTTGTTATTATTTTTGTTATCTTTTTGGCTAAACAATTTATTCTATGTTAATTATTAATAATTTATCATTGTTAGTTTACATTTGCTCAGGTTTTAGTTTTGTTCTTGTCAAGATTTTTCTGTTAAGCAATATAAATACGTCCCATTGCATGTTTGGCTTGTCCCTTAGATATTAGTAACATTGAATATTTATTGAAACATAATTGTAAATTGGTTTGTTTGGACCGTTGGAAGCAAAATAAAATAAAAATAAAATAAAATAAGGCAGCTGGAGCGGTTGTCCTCAAACACATCTACCTTTAGAATGTCACGAGGCCATAAACCCCAACACGGGTGGCCCTTTAGCCTTCGATGTTTACTTTTAGTTTTTGTCCAGGTGTTACATTCCCGCCCTTACCTCCAGTGCAATTTGGGTGGTGGTTGTAGTTATTTTTGACCTTACTTC